ATAAACAAGGATATCTATTGATAGGCCGCGGCCTAAATGCACGATGTAAACGTAGCCACTGGGTTATGTTCAGATTTTTACCCGAGTGCCACCCAGGTATCCCTCTATTCTTATTCTTTACCGAACGTTAAACAAGGATGACATAACACCCGGGAGCACTCGGGTAGGAAACTGAACACGCTCCTGTGCGTGCCCCAGGCCGGAATCAGACTACGCATTGAAGATTGAGATTGAAGATTGAAGATTAAAATTTGACCAGTGAGGACAAAGGAATTTTATCTCCTATTGTTTTAGAGCCATTGTCACCAAGCTCAGTTAACTTAACTGGGCCAATTAATCCATCGGAATTGACCAATCTGTCAATTCTTCAAACAAAATGACAAATGCGATTGACAAATCGATTCCGATGGACTAACTGGCCTAGTTAGATCAACTGAGCTTGGTGACAGTGATCCTTAATTGGTCAAATTTCAATCTTTCAATCTTCAATCTGAATCTTCAATGCGTAGTCTGATTTCGGCCTCACTGAGCGCTCAATGAGCTGTGTTTGGTCTATATTTTTAGTTCTAACGGAATATGCCAATCAGATGCAAGAGTTCACTGAGCGGTCGCAGTACTGAATGCACTAAGTATGAGTGATATGAGCGATTACCGATTATGCGGGGTCTACAATAGAAGTCGTAGCAGTCGTAGGGTCTTAAGTCGTAGAAAATTGATCAATCACAGTCGAATATGAGAAGAATAATCAACTGTGATTGGTCAATTTTCTACGACTTAAGACCCTACGACCGCTACGACTTCTATTGTAGACCCCGCATTAGAGATCTTCTAGGACTGTGTTCTAAAATTCACTGTCAGTGTTGAAAATATATAGTATGCGTGACGTAAATTGTAGATTTTCAGTATTGGCAGTGAATTTTGGAACACAGCCTAGTAATGGCTCCTGCACATTGAACGCGGAAAAGCTTACCGCGCGGCAAATGTGCAGGAGTTGTAAAGGTGCCTTTACATGGCAGCGTCAAGCGTCAAACGTCAGAGCATGCGCAGTGACACGTTTAATAATTTCACTGAAATTGAATTTAATGTACGAGATACACTAACAGTGAAATCTCTTAGTTTACACTATATAATGTAAATAAATATAAATTTTCAGCATTATATGTTAGGATAGTAATGTATATCAGAACATAACCTCTCATAGTTTACCATTTTGCGTCAAGAAGCTGCGCAGAAGATTATTACGCAGGAGTCTAGAGATTCAAACTTCTGTGCAGTAACCAGCAGTAATCTTCTGCGCAGATGCTCGACGCTTGCATATAATGGCATCTTAAAGCCCGATCTACATAAAGCTGGTTCTACATTAGTCGCATTGCAGCGTCGTAAGCGTATCGCAAGTGTTGCGGTCCAATCAGAGTCGAGCTAACTCAACTCTGATTGGACCGCAACCCTTGCGACGCTGCGATGCGACTAAAGCTGGTTCTACATTAGTCGCATCACAGCGTCACAAGCGTTGCGGTCCAATCAACGTCAAGCTAGCTCGACTCTGATTGGACCGCAACCCTTGCGACGCTGCGATGCGACTAATGTAGAACCAGCTTAATGTAGAAACCAGCTTTATGTAGATCAGGCTTAAAGCTAGTTCTACATTAGTCGCATCGCAGCGTCGTAAGCGTGTCGCAAGCATTGTAGTCCAATCAGAGTCGAGCTAGCTTGACGTTGATTGGACCGCAACGCTTGTGACGCTGTGATGCGACTAATGTAGAACCACACACAGCTTAAGAGATGAGACAACGCGTGCGCAAGCTGCGGATTGGTCGCCGCCATTCGAGGGACACTTCCATGTTTCGAACAAAAAAAGTGCTCATGATTTACTTACGTTTTCGGCCCGACCGGGTTTGCACTGCTTAGGACTACCGATTTATCGTAGAATCAGCATAATAGTTTTGTAACAAAAGTCATCACGTGATCTTTTTGTCGCTGAAACGGCCAGTTTGAGCGGCTCGTGAAAATGCATTTTTAAAGTACAATTACTAAAAAATTAATAGTTAATGAGATATTTTATAATCACATTTCTCTGATAACTTGCCTTTCCTTTGATTATTTGAGACAGACAATGTAACAGTTTCACATATACTGATTGTGAGAAGATATTTAGCACTACATTAAAATTTGGATCTTTTTACAATCAATAATTTAAGGGATTCATTAATGATATAAATATTATAATTCAATAGTATTATAAAAACAGAATACACATAAAATGTAATTTTTTTTAAAACTTTATTGTTCGCGGTGTAGTGTATTATAATATGTACAAAACTTATTGCATTTATTCACACTTAAAACAAATAAATTATGTGCTTTAGCAGTGCAAGTCATATCCTCACATTCTTCAAAAGTGAAAAACGTATTTTCAACACATTAGGCCTGTTTGAATTATGCTACTGATAATACTTTAAATTTTGTATTGACTACGTGAATCTCTCTAAAAATGTAAATTTTTACAAAATTATGAGATTTATCAATATCGTCTTATTAATGTATGCATAAGAAGTGTTTAATATCAAAGGAAAAAAATGTTCAGTTTGTAAGAAACTTTTCACACGTGCGTTATTCTAATTTTGTATAGGGTCTCTGTTCACGTTGATTGGTCCCGTGTTATGTACGATTAGGACCGTTTGGAAATCGCCTTAGACATAGAAGAGACGGACTCGACTGGTAGACACCAAAAGATCATCGTCAAAGAATTTTGTTTCTATTACGACGTTGCCGCTATTTGTAAAGGAAACCATACACAATTAATCAATAGATAAGCGATTAAACACAAAGGATGTGTCTCTACTTACTTTAGTATATTTGCCGGCATCATTTGACTCTCAGGTGCTGCTTGGATCAAGCTTTGCCATGTGTTAGTGCTGTTGGGAATAACGAATCCAAACTCAAAGAACCACTCTTCCAAACAGCGCCCTTTGAACAGTACTTTCTGTTCTAGGCGAAACCTTTCCATTGGTTCTGCAGAGCTGAAGTTTATCTCCCTCGACACCGCGCGACATCGCAAGATCTTTTTCGGTACACGTGCTTCATGTTCTACGTCAGGTACAGATCTACAATCAAGCAAAGAATTCAATCTGTCATCCTTTAATGATATACCTGGAAAATCAGTCTTACTTACAAGTCTTCGTTACCCTGCCAGAGAATTTTTCCACTGTCGGCATCACGTAGATTCATCCAATTACTGATGGAATCATTAAGGAGACACGTCCATTCAAATAAATCCAGTGTTGTCAAACCAATGTTCTAAAAAAATCTGTTCTTTGTACCTGTACTATTATAATATTAACGTTTTAAATAAAATAAAATAAGTAATACTAAGGTCTAGTTTCACAACTCACTGTTAACTCTTAACCGAGATTCAACTTACTTATTATTTCTTTTCAATTCTAGAATTGGAAAGAGGTAAGAAATAAGTTGAAACTCGGTTAAGAATTAACCGTGAGTAAAACTGGACCTAAGTGAAAATTGACCCAGAAATGTTCAACACAATGGAGCAAAGGAGCCCCTATTCAATCAAGAAAGATCCTGGTGCCTAATGATATTTTGAATTTTATAATTTTGGAATAAAGTAAGCATACAAATAATCAGAGACAAAAAAGGAATTCAGCTACAAAGAACATATGTCAGAAATGTTCGGATTTGACCTTTCGTTCTAACCTAAACACTGCCAGGTGATCGCCGAGTAATTTTGCGCTTAAATCACATCTTAAATTAAAGGATACACCTGGAAACCTTTGAGAATATCCTCCCCGCGAGACGGCATACTTAGGCACTATCACAGAACAGATGGAATTAACGCGATTATACAAAGCGGAAAACGACAAACGAACTATTGATCCTCCATGTCTCCGAATGACTTTGAATTGTAAACACAAACACTGGCGACGCGGCGGCGCAGGCGCACATGAAATTCATTGCCTAGTTTACATTGTGCACTTGATACGGATAGAGTCCTAGATTTATAAATCTAGGACTCTAGGTAGAATTATATAAGGTGAGTCATTCCCGTAGATACGCAGTAGCCTAAAAATAGTGGAGAGTGGGCAGCCAATCATGGGAGGCCCATTCGATTAAAATCCAATATGGCTGTATTTATTATTTCGGAGCACTGCGTGCGATGTTATTACGGTTGATTACGACTATCGTGTAAAACTGTAAATAATAAATGAATACATATATGAAGATTTTGTTTAGAATATATATAATGTAGTATAATCTAATTCCTAATAGCACACTTTATCCTGAGGATGTTTTTAGGACGCTGTTCAAAGGACATATGGACATCCTCTAGATATCCTCAGGACATCCCTTGGAAGTCTGTGTTCTCTGTTATGGATATAATATAATATAATATAATAATAGAATATATAATATAATAATAGAGGTTAGTGCAACATGTAATAAGTGTATATTTTTCAAACAGCATGCCGACCTGTTGCATTAGAAACTGTAGCAGTTGCAGTTCTCATGCATTTAGTGACAAAGTAATGTTTTATAAATTCCTGAAAGATACCGATTTGTGTAAAAAATGGCTTGAGGCTTGTGGCAAAAATGTCGATTCTCAGATTAAACAATGTGCAATCGTGTTTGTAATTAGTAACATTGTTACAGTTTGTAATGTTTTTATATTTTAATAAGTTTAGGACCGATTGTTCCATCTTTTGGTAAAGTTTACCTGTCAGATAAATCTGGCAATTCGCGCACATGATTGGATAATCTTGCTACTTATCTAATAGGTAAGCTTTACCAAAAGATGGAACAATCGGGTCTTAATAAAGATTTCATTGTTATTTTAATTTCTAATAATGTGTTTTTATTAATCATCTTCTGTGAACATTTGAATTCCGCGCGTATAAAATGGGTCCTTCGTGATTGATTGACAAGATATGTCTCCCATCTTCTGCCGCCATTATTTACATTTCTGCGCAATGTTCACCTTGCATAAGGGCGTGTTCACACCTTGACGGAAAAGCAGAAAGCGGAAAAGCAGCAGCCAATCAGAACTCGCGTTGGTATTCGACAATTTTGGTTTTTTGTATTAAGCGGAGAGCACAGACTCTTGCATAACGCGTAACACATAATGCATAAGAAAATGAATCAATCATAATCCTTCGTTTCCTTCTTTTCCATGAAATAAAGAACTATGATTGGTTGAATTTCTTATGCCTTATGTGTTACGCGTTATGCAAGAGTCTGTGCTCCCCGCTT